AATCTGTGTAGTAACGTTAACGGTAGTAGTTATTTAACGTTACTACTACATATAGTAGTAGTAGGTAGGGTACGTCAACTAACGTACTATTACTTCTTATATATATATATATATATATATATATAATAAGATAAATATAGGGACCCAATTTCTATGCAGTCAAAGGGCGCATATGTAGAAATACGGGCCTGTTAATAAATTTATTTTTGTGATGGATTTTGGGACTTAAAGACTTGTAATTTCTAACATGTAGTTCACAAATATGAAAAATAAATAAATTTAAAAAACTAAAAATAATAATTCTAGTAAGAAAATATTTAGACCATTAGTTTTCATTATTTTTAGATGGACCACCTACTTGCATCCATGAAATGCCTTAACACTTTTTGGACCGCATATGCAGTCATGCGGTCCAGCACGCGTGAGACAATTTTCCTAAACATAATGTGAGTTGCGGCTCTCTGATGGCGTCAAAAAAAGACCAAAGCTTACGTGGATAGTCAAGACCAATGATCAGTCAACTATAGTTACTTCTAACTCGATACCAGAGTCACTTAACCCAGCTTACATGTACTTCTTGTGAACCGTCCGATCAAGGCACCAAATATATTGCAGCGGTCCAAGCGAGTGGGCATTACGTAAGCGCCTGACAATTTCGTTACGTCACCCCGAACTTTAGTATCAAAATGACGATGATGCCCTTCAAATTTACCAATAATTTATTTACTGAAATTTGTGGTGATTTAACAAGCTTAGGTGTGGCCGCGTTTAATGGACGAATATTGCAGGCTCAAAAATAATCATTTTATTTATTTTCTTTCAAATCATAGCTAGTAAACTTTTGCTATGAGTATTATAGTTATGTTTAGGCACGTCAGTGTATTTTTTTTAGGGGAAAGTATACGATTACAATTATTTTCAGCCCATTAATGTAAAATTAAGAGGCAAGAAATATGCTGTTGTTTGTGTTTAAAACCTAAAAAAGAATTCTTAAACTTTGTGATACATTCTTAGATATCGGATTTCAATATGATAATTAAAAAATAATTACGATTTTTTTGTATTAAATATAAATGTTTTTTTGACATACAATGTAGTAGTTTAGTCTTTCTTCTACCATTTTTATTCATCGGCATTTTGCGGGGTCTCCCCAAAGGGATTTTTTTTATATATAAAATATCCACCTTAAATAATTGAAGGTGTGCTTTCTAGTTCCACCACAAGACGCTGGAAACCCAGGATGACCTAAAAATCTACTTTCCACTCATGATTATAAAATTTAGAGTTGAAAACATGGTGCAGATCAAACCAAATTATAAAAACTTGATAATTAGAAATAGATGATCAAGATAATATGTTACAAGATGCATTATTTTTAAGATTTGAAATCCACTTTACTTTTCGTATTTATGCATCTGGAAGTCAAGATTTAGAGAGTTTTTCGGCTTTAGGATAACACCACAAATCTCACGATCGCCACCCATAAAAGATAATAAAAAATATTATATATATTTAAAATAGCCAAAATACCTATGGAATATTTTAAGGGTATTTTGGTTGCTTTTATTTAGAGACTATTTTTTGTTGTTATTGGTATGCAGCAAGGCACATCTACCCGCCAAATTTAATCTCAATAAAGTTTGTAAAAATAAGAAATTTTTGAACACCTGATTACTCTCCCAACAATCAGTTTAAAATTCAACGAACGACAATATTTAAACCCACAAGCAGACCAACTCAAGCATTTGATAGCCTCTACCTATCTGCAAGATCAATATAGCACAAAACTCACCAGCATTTTGGTAGGGTTTCTTTATAGAAAAAAGTTTATATAAAGTTATAATCTTATACTATAGAAGTAAATTGCATATCAAAATCCAATAGAAAATAGTGTTCCAACATTGAACAACCTTGTAACTATCATCTTGACCTCTATATATATAGTATAAAGAAAAAAAAATAAAGTGCTAAGGGTCGTTCATTTTCTAGCAAGTTATCTAGATCATCTATTTTCAAAATTTTAAAATGTTTATAGATATGCTCAATCTGTAAATTTTTTAAATTTTAAAATTTACAACGAGGGTTGACATGGATTTTCAAACTATTATAAGGTTTTTGACAAAATAACTACATCTTTTGACAAAATTTAAAGAGCGCATTGATTGCTTAGTGTAAGGTGGGCGCCTTATATAAGTCTCACCCTTCCTTATATGACTTTGGGAAGAATTATTTATTTGGATACGGTTTTCATGAGTACAGAGGACTCATATGTAGATATGCTTCGGTCTTCATGATCTACTTTTGAGATGGGTTTTGGACCTAAATTTTTAGATGTATAATATCTAGCATACAAAACATGAATATGTAAAATACCTGAAGTTAAAAAACTAACAACGATGATTTTTTGAAGGAAAATTCTAGACCGTTAATTTTGCTTTTTTGGAGAGAGTGCAAAGCCATACCCATCTTTAAGGTGGATGTGGGATGCTTCCGGGATACCCATCTTTAACATGGACGTGGGATGCTTCCGGGGACGTAAATGTGGTCATGCCTTCCCTCCTAATGTATAAACCACTTTACTTTTTTGAAAAAGAAAATATTATATAAGGTTGCAATTTTAAACTGTAGAATTAAGGTGAGCTTCAAAAATCTGTTGGAAAAGGATGTTTTGATATTCAAAATCCTCGAATTGATCATTCTCAACATTAAGATGTATAAAAAAAAGAAGAATTCGAGTCCCATCTTGCGGCACATTTTCTGGGTTGCCCATTTTGAAGATTTTTATGTGAGATCAAGTCTATTTGGTTTGAACTATTTTTAGAGTTTAAAATTTTATAATTAAAGATAAAAATAAATTCTTAAGCCATCATAAGAATTTTGAATACAAAAATTACATTTTATAATGAAACTTGGAGGTATGCCTTCCTTTGGTTTGTTTAAGGTTGCACCCTCATGCAAACCTCACATATATCAAAGCCATAGGGTTGCAACTATATCAAAATAAGTAAAGCCTCACCCCATAACTCATAAAAAATTACAATTCAAGTATTGATAAATCTTTACATCGATCATCTCGGCTTGAAAAAAAATTTGGATTTCAAGCTATGATATGTTGTAACTAATTATTTAGACCATCCATTTCGTCATAAAAATAAATGTTCAAATATTTGCAACGTCTATATATTTTTTGAATTTCAATGTCGGTGTTGAAAATTGATTTTAAAGTTATCATAGAGATTTTCAATGCCGAAAGTGCACTCCCGGTTAGGATTTGAGGTGAGACTTTATTTTGTTTACATAACACCTAGGCCTTATAAGAGGACCCGGTTTTTATGCGGCCAAACCCGCATATGTAGAAATGCCGATCTCTTAATAAATCTATTTTCGAGGTGGATTTTAAGACCTAATTTTTTAAAGACATATAATCTCTAACATAGAGATCATGAATATAAAAATTAAATAAATTTTAAAAATTAGAAATGATAGTTCTAGTAAAAAAATATTTGGAAAGTTAATTTCTATTGTTTTTTTTTCAGATGGAACACCTACTTGCTTCTAATATGGATGCTTTACACTTTAGACCTCATATGTTTCACGCGGTCTAGCCCGCATGAAACAATTTCCCTTTATAAAAACTTCTATCCTTAAAAGAAATTATCAGCAGGAGGGCGTTTTGGTAAAAAGCAAAACATGAGGTAATACAAAGCGCGGTGTTTCGGCGAGAGGAAAACCTGGCGGGTCTCAGTATTGCAATTAGGGCAAGCCGCCACTAAGGTACACACGAATAATCTCCGATCTCCACATTATCTGCTCAAATTTCCGAGCTCTAGTTTTCTGCAACCATGTCTTCGCCTTCACTCTCACTACAGTAAACCCTAATTCTGTTCCTCTCTTTTTAGGGTTTCGAGGTTCGAATTCTCCATGAAAGTAAGATCTGAGATTGAGATTCTACTGGTTCGCATTTGACTGGAAGCTTTGCTGAATATTCAGCTTAGTCCTGATTACCGGAACTGTGTAAAGGTTTCTGGATCTGAGTGTTAGGGTTTCTTTTGGGTTTAAAATGCAGAGGACTACGAGGTTACTGGAGAGATCGAATACTATGACGAGAGCGGAGAAGAGGAAGCTTGATGCGGGTGAGGCGGAGGAGAGGCCGCCTGAGGAGAAGAAGCAGAAAGTGCCTGCTCTTGCGAGGTATTTGTGGTTTTTGATTCGTTTTGTTAGGGAAATTAGGGTTTTTTTTGTGCTTGATTTTGGAATCTGTTCAGTCCTAGACTCTACTTCCACTGGTCTTGGCCTGGGGAAATTATTGGTTTTGCTGATTCTATAGGTTTCCTGTCTGCTTTTTTTATGTTTTCATAGTGACCGTAGTGCTTATCTTGTATTGGCATACTAGTACTGGGTCATGATTTATGAGTTATGATCTTTAGATTTCCATTATTAATGTGAAGCTTGTAGTGTTCCAAGGTCGTGTTATCCAAGCTTACATGATATTTTATCGTGAGACTCTAAAATGAAATAAAAAATGTTTGTTACTGGTCTGATTAAAGTAGCTGAGGTTGTTTTTTAGGGGTTCCTCAATAATTTGTTTGCATTTATACACTAGGTGTTTTCGGAAATGTGTCTTCATGCTCTAATCACCATGTTCTGGAAGATCACACACTCCTTCCGTCTATTTTCTCTCTGCCTCTGAAAATGGGGAGTTTTAGCTACTGCCTATGCTCTTTGCCGACGTTATTTTGCTGTCTATTGTTTTTTTATAGAAAAAGATCTAATTTATTGCTAGTTTTTCACATTAACTGCTAACTGTTGTATGGTGAATCTGGACTTTTCTTTGTTTCTTTTGATAATTAAGTTTAGTACTGGAGTTTTCCTGAATTTTGAATCATGCAAACTAATCTTGAATTTCTGTGATACTCCTTGCACCTTTCAAATGTACCTTACATTGGGATGATAACTTATAGGTGAATTGTATATTTATAGTGGACTAGGGCAAATGATGGGAGAGGTGAACTTTCAATCTTTTCAATATGAACATTGTCCGAAGCAATGAATGGATTTAAAGCACTTTGCATTCTTATCTCTGATGCTTTCTTATTCTATTTGTATGACTACCTAATGTCTAATTTGTTGTTGCATTGCCGTAGTCGTACTTATAAAAAAAATCAGGGCAGCACGATATGCTAATCTGTTTAATGTTAATTTGTTATTGCATTATCCGATATCTAATTTGTTCTTGAATTGCCTTTTGCATGCATTAAAAGAAAAGGCCAACAGTATAGACTATTTGTGAAACTACTTACATTGTTTGTGTAAGCTACCTAATGTAAGTAACAAAGAAAAGTAATGTCACACTTCCCCAATTCTGTTGACTCCAGTGAGTCTTTTGAGTGGCCCAGAAGATGTGGCTGAATTGTCTCAGAAACCAAGTCACATTGTTTGTTGACTCAGTCTCTTATTTAGTTGACTATGGTTCTAACCCCATAAAGGTTATTTGCTAATCTCTGTCATTTTACATTTCCTCTTTCATCTTTTGCATATAATTATTAGGAAATTAGCTGCTTGTGCACTTCCAAAATAAATAAATAAAAAAGAGGAAAAAGACAAGAGGTTAGCTGCTTGCGCCATTTAAATATCCAAATTTTGTCGAATAATTTATTGATGCTCATGGTGGCAATATTTTATCACATTTTTATGATTCCTTTGTTCCTTTTGTTGATTTTGATTTCCATTTCTTTGACAAAATTTTTGCTTACTGCCTTCTTGAAGTTATGTACTCTAAGCATAATCTATTGCCAATTTAAGTGATATCAAAAATGATTTTCATTTGGCAATTCGCATGCTCTATTACTTGATCCTAGATAGTTTTTCTAGTGCATTAATGGGAAGCACTTCTATGCAGCGTTATTGTTGAAGCTCTTAAGGTGGACAATTTGCAAAAACTTTGCTCGTCATTGGAGCCGATTCTTCGTAGAGTTGTAAGTTTATTTAGTTCAGTGGCATCATTTATACCCCTTTGACGAAATTTCTGCGAGTGTTAGTCATGTGCTTCAGTATGTTAGCTCTGGATATCTCCATGTACAACCAACTGATTCATTGGATTTTTTTTTATAAAATTTAATCATGTACAAAAAGATAAAAAATGCAGTTATGTCTTTATGTATAGATGACTTGAGCATGCCTTCTTTATCTCCTTTCTAGCTAATTTTGATTGATGGGTGATGGACCATGGATTACATCATTTTGAGTGATTTACAAAGAGGGCTATTTGTGCAAACTTGTTGTCATCTCCAGACATATATGCTCTAGGTTAGTGCTCAAGAAAATGGTCCAGTGCGAAACTCGGACCTTGACCAGGCCAGGTGACTCAGGTGAGTCCAAGGCGGCTCGCCCAAGTTTTCCCAGTCTTCGAGAATCCCAGGAAAAACCTTGAGAATTGCAGGAAAAATCCTGGAAATTCAGAAAACATCAGAAGTAATGAAAATGGTAGAAGTTCAGGTAGACAACATGGGAAATGATAAAAAAAAAAATCAATTATGTGAATTTACATTGAAAAACCCGAAATTTGGAGGTTAATTTTCCAATATTTGCTCTTGTTGTGCATCAATATATCCAATCTTTGTCAGACAAGCCACCCAAATCAAAACCCCAAACCAGATTTGGCTTTCGAGTTCAATCTTGTTGAATGCTATCTTAGCTTTGCAATTGTTGGATTTTGGATTTTTAAAGATCTGCCATCAAATTTAAACTTCAAGATTCCAATATATAAAAACTTGAACTTTAACATCCCCCCAGGATGCCTCCAATCTTCTCTACCTGCAACTTGTGAGACTCATTATACAAGTTATGCTTATTAACATGTGGAAAGGCCACCCTTCCTTACGCATGTCTGCTCCTGATTTACAAGTTACACGAGATCAAATTGATCTGCTCTTCTACCTTGATTTGGCTTTACCCTCTCACACCATCCTTATTATGTTAACCTAAATTTTGGTGCTTATCCTTGGCTATGCTGTATTTTAAGAAAAGAAAAAATGTGACCTTTAATTGGATATTTAAATGTTTAGGAACTAACTGTGGTTGGTTGAGTTATTTCTGTGACAACAGCCACTGATATTCAAAGAAATTGTTTTTCTGTCCTGTTATAATTCAGTCAATTAATTGTTTTTTCTGCACTGTTATAATTCATTCAATTCCTTTGGCAATAATATCTTCTTCCTAGGATTAATGAACAACCACAAAGGAGCGATGTTTGGAAGATTCTCTAAAAGGAATTCTTCAACTGGTGTGGGACTCAAATTCTTGCATGTAGTTTAATTAGAATTGTTAAGAGGCCCGCCATGTGGAATTTTTCCTCCATAGCAGCCTGGGCTTTGATGTACACTCTCAGTGTGGCAATTGGTTATTCAAATTTTTTCCATGATTGATGAAGTCTTGGAGAAAACATTGATAATGTTAAAAAAAGTTATTATTTTTTACATTTGCTTATTTATTTATGATCTATGAAATAAAGAAAAATTTAGAGTATGAAATTTTTTAATTTTGTTCGATGCATACTTCATAGACATATGTAGAACACTAGCACATCTTTGTTACTGATGCCTGATACTTTCCTGGTTAATTTTTTTTAAAAAAAAATTAATGAAGTTTTTTGTGGCATGTGTTATGAAGATGATGTTTTCTTCATCTTTATCCTGTTTATTTTCGGGTTTAACTTTTGTGCTGTGGTTACGTGTGTTTGACTATTCTGTCAAAGCAGGTCAGTGAGGAAGTTGAGCGTGCATTGGCAAAACTAGGGCCTAGCAGGCTTGGTGGAAGGTATGGTATTTTACTTATTTAATTCATTTATATATAATATTTTCCTTTTCAGTTTGAGCAGCTAGAAATTGATTTGGATTTCTTTTGCATGTTTCAAAAAGTTCATGTGTTATGAGTTACATCTGGGAAAAGCTAGTTTCTATGACATCCATCTATCAGTTTCAAACACAATTGCAACATAAAATTGAGGCGGGACAGTGTTTTACTAAGGAAAGCATTCTTAATCTGTATCTTCTGTATCCTATTGCTTGGGCTATTCGCACCTGGGCGTAATGAAGTTCTATTTTACACTTGAGGGAAGTACACTCACAGTTTTATAAGGATCTTAGTTGAGAAAGTTATTGGTTAATAGTTACACCCCCCCACCCCACCCCACCCCCCCCTTAATGCCCTTTGGCAGGATTGTTTTTCCTTCTCTTTTTAGATTTCTTCATCAATTTGGTTATGTTCATTAAATGTGAAGTTCCTACTTTTTCTTCTCTCACCATTTCCTGTTTACAATTTGTACACTTTTTTAACTACTTTTGAGTTCTAACATGAGCTAACTGGGACTTTTTTTCGACAAGCAATTGACCTTTCTTTGTTATGTAAAAGGTCTCACCTTCTGCTTTGGGTTTTGATTTTTGAAACTTTGGTGGATATTTGTGATCCACAAACTAATGCCTTGTTAGCCATTCCTCTTGGAATTGTGTTTCTATCCATGCCTTCTCCCAGAAATGTTGCCTTGGATTTCCAATAACTATTAGAGTTCATGTTTACTTAAAAAAATTCAATTACCCAACAAGGCACAATTGAGGATCTTACGAAATGGTATGCTGAAGAATTAAATTCAATCGCCGCGAGAGAAATAGTCAAGTGGCCAAAGCGAGTCTAGAGATATACTTTGACTTGATGAAATAATGTCTGTGTGCGTGTGTATCTGTGCGTGAGTGTAGGTATGTGTGTGCGTGTGCGTGTGCGTGTGCGTGTGTGTGAGTGTGTAAGTGAGAGACAAAGAACTTGGACTCAATGAGTCTCATCCAATATTTGAAATAAATAACCATAAAAAAAGAAAACTGAAATTCTGAAAAAGAGATAACAAATGAATTTCACTCAAAAAAAAAAAAGATAACAAGTGAAAAATATTATGAATTCTCTCTCAAAAAAAAAAGGAAAAAAATTATGAATGAGGAGAGATTGGCAAAAATATCTGGCTTCTGGGTTCTAAAATGCTGGCGTTTCATACATGGCTCAAAATGGGGTTAGAAAAGCAGACCGAAGCCATAAAAATGCATTACGGTGTACAACTGAAGTCAAGTCAACAAAAACTCTTCAAAATTGCTGAGTCTTTTAATATTGTTTAACATTGTTGTTTTTTTGCGTGAATGACACTCTTGACTAGCCTGAGTCAATTGGACTCTGGCAAGTCCCGAGTCTCAGCCATTTTTTACTTCATCTGTCATGCAGAGACTATTTTTCGTCATTTTCATAGTCAGTGAACGTGTTATGTTTACATAGTTGTTTAGGGTCGTCTTACTGTTTCTTTATTCCTTCAATGGTCTTGTCGTATCTGGAGCTCATATCTATGAGGGACGTATCTCTACTTTTGATTAATGGGAATATTATCTTAATCTTGCTAATTTCATATTATACATCCTCGTTAGATTCTCCCTTATATGACAGCTGGTAAAGCACTCAGTGGAATGACTTTCAGCTGATAGAATTCCTACGTGTTTGCACATATGTTTATCATGACATACGTTCGTCAACTATGGCTTTCTTCCTTATTGTCAGTGCGTATAATGTTTACTTATCAATCTTGCAATAGAAGCTGAAAGACATGCTCTAAACTTGTTCTTCAAAGTCATTTCAATTATTCGTATTTCTATTAGTGTGAAAACTGAAACCGAAAAGATACTGTTGTGATTGTCATAAACCAGTTAGTATTTCGTACTACTTTTTTGTTTTTTTTTCTGGTCCTTTCTTACTCACTTGTAAGGGCCTCAGGTTTTAATGTATGATTTCTTATTCCTTTTCTTCTTTTTTTTTTTCCTTTTTTGTTTGTGGGTGGGTGGGGTGTTAATTGCTAATCTTGACTTTTCTTCGAATGTTTCTTGGGTTTGTGCAGGTCATCTCCAAAGAGAATAGAAGGTCCTGATGGTAGGAGTCTTCAGCTACAGTTCAGGTCGAGATTGTCCCTACCACTCTTCACTGGAGGGAAAGTAGAAGGGGAGCAGGGTGCTTTGATTCATGTGGTTTTGATCGATGCTAATACAGGCCAAGTCATTACATCAGGGCTTGAGTCATCTGCTAAGCTTGATGTCATAGTGCTGGAAGGTGACTTCAACAACGATGATGAAGACAACTGGACCCAAGAAGAATTTGAAAGCCATGTCGTAAAAGAACGTGAAGGCAAGAGGCCTCTTTTAACTGGGGACTTGCTGGTTACCCTCAAAGAAGGGGTTGGGACCCTAGGAGAACTCACTTTCACAGACAACTCAAGTTGGATAAGAAGCAGGAAGTTCAGGCTTGGCTTAAAAGTTTCATCTGGTTACTGTGAGGTTGTTCGCATTCGTGAGGCTAAGACAGAGGCTTTTACTGTTAAGGACCACAGAGGAGAATGTATGTCTGCTATTTTCTCTTTATTCTTTCGCTTTCAGTTTCTAATTCTAGTCTGTCGCTACTTATGAAAAACTCAAGGAAAAATACCAAAGACAGTACATGGACCAATCATCTTCTAAATGACTATGTTTCTCTAGGTGGTTGTGTGTTCTTGTCATCACTTATTTGTGTTTTTAGACTAACTTGGGGGTAAAATAGTCATATCTTAAAAATAATGGTTGCAGGGATGACCTTGACATTTCGAGTGTCTGAGCTACCTGCATGGTATGTGCTGGTGTTCCAGTTACTTTCCTGATGTTCGCCCCTATTATGTTCTGAAACTGAAATTTCATTGGAATCTACAGTATACAAGAAACACTATCCGCCTGCGTTGCAAGATGAAGTGTGGAGATTGGAGAAGATTGGGAAGGATGGGTCATTTCACAAAAGGTTGAATAAAGCTGGGATTCACACAGTTGAAGACTTCCTCCGGCTTGTGGTCAGAGACCCACAAAGATTACGAAGTGTAAGATCTCTAGGCTTTGTTTTTTCGGAAGTTCAAATTTCATGAATCTCTTGAGACGAATTTTCTTCCTGTTGTTTTGTATGAAGGTACCTTATGTTGCTATTTTGTACTGTAGATACTTGGCAGTGGCATGTCGAATAAGATGTGGGACTTAGCGGTTGAGCATGCCAAGACTTGTGTTTTGAGTGGGAAGTATTATGTCTACTACACTGATGATGCAAGGAATGGTGTTGTTTTTAACAATATTTATGAGTTGAGTGGCCTTATTGCAAGTGGGCAGTACGTTCCAATGGAGCAGCTTTCTGACAATCAGAAGGTGAATATTTCTTGTTCCCTATCCTCCTTTGTAAAACATCTCTTGTTTGATCTGTATCAAATTTAATAGTGAGCATGCTGTTCCCAAGAGCCATAAAAGCAAAAGGGTCGTATAGCTAGTCCAAGTCACAAAGAACTAAAGCTCAGAGAAATCATGCTATGAGCTGGTTCTATACGTCAGACCTTCAAATCTAGGATACCCTGTATCAGAGAAGTAACCTTGATATATCGTATTCATCATAGCCTTTTTCCAACTATTTGGGGTCGAGTACACAAATCTTTTGGTGAGTCCTTATGGGGAATGCCCTAGCATAAACAGATAGAGTAGATTCAAGATTCATGGAAGGTTTTGGCAAGGTTTTACGTTGGTTGCCTATGTAACACAATCCACTTCTTTTGCTTGGGCTTGGGACGGATTAAGGGAAAGTTCAAGGTCCTCACCCTTCATAGAGCAAGTAACCTTGATATATATCTCAAGAAGAAAGAGATAACTTTGATACTGATAAGATCCTAGCTCGAAAACCTAACCCCTAAATTTGAAATAACAAAAGTCGTCTTAAGGCACTAACCTCTGTTTTAATATGCTTTCTACTTGTCTTAATCCGCCATGAGCTTGAAATCTAGAAAAGGAACCTTTGGTTTGTATATTCCCTTTTAGCAAAAGTCTTAATAATCGCTGAGCATTTCGTTACCTTATATTCTGGAAGTCCGAACCCAAAAAACTATTAAACCTTCATTCTAATTACCTGACCTGCCATTTGTTCTTGTCAGTAGCTAAAAAAGAATACCCATGGTAAGGCAATGTTCTTGAGAGCTACTTATCCAAAGAAAAGTAAATGACTTTCTGTTTATTTTTTGTGCAGCTTCATGTGGATACATTAGTGAAAAGAGCGTACGACAATTGGATGCATGTGGTCGAGTATGATGGCAAGGCATTGCTGAACTACAAACAGAGCAGGAAGGCATCGTCGTCAAACTATTCAATTGCCCTTGATCAGCAACCCTCTATAACTCGTGCACCAGTTCAGGTTCCTATGGAGCAGTCCTCAGTGAATGCCATGTCAGCCGTTGGCGGTAAGCACATTTCTTAACTCTTAAAATGTTTTATCTCGTGGTTCTGAGAAATAGATATGTTTGCATTTAAATGATAATTTGACATAATATAGTGGAAATCCCATTTTCTTCTTTTTTTCTCTATCCAAGGTACTACGAATGAGAACTCCCATCACCAAAAAAATCAAAAAGTTCTTTGATCTCCTTTCAAGATGTTCTAAGATAGGCACATTTGCAGCTTTTGCACCCCCGCGGCGGGGGGTGGGTTTGTGTGTGTGTGTGTGTGTGTGGTGGGGGGTGGGGGGGGGGTAGGGGGTGTGTAGAACGAAAACTAAAACTAAAACTAACTTACTAGTATACTTCCTTCGTACGTAGTTAGTTACGTAGTAGTAGACGACCAACCGAAAAACTAAAACTAAAACTT